CACACACACACACATACACACACACACACACACACAGCCGAAGATTGGAGCTGGCAGTGGCAGCGCGCACCAGGTGGCATATGGCACTGCCACGTCCGTGTATGTGTGTGTCTGCCTTGTGTGTGATGTGGATACCTGTCTTGTGGGTTATGGTGGATGCCTGTCTTGTGGATTATGGTGGATGCCTTCATGAGCGTGTGCTCCAGAGAGAGAGAGAGAGAGAGAGAGAGAGAGAGAGAGAGAGGTGGACTTGCTTGGGGCAAATGACTCCAACATCTAAGGGACGCACTGAAAGATGGGTCATGTCGAAAGTTTTTGTGCTTCTACTCACCGGCTATTGGGTAGGGGCATACGAAGAAGTTGAAAGAGGTACCGGTAGGTAGTAGGGACATAACGAGTTATAAACGAACATATTTCAGGCCCAACTGACGCCAGGGGTATATTGCAAACTTGAATGGTCATCAGAGGGGCACGACAGGTAAGTTGGCCGTCAGAGGGGCGCCACCCAAAAAAAAAAAATCAATTTTGAGAGGGGCGACACAATTTTTTTTCTTCTGTTTCTTAACAATTTTGAATTTTTTTTGTTCGCCAAACATTTGTGGACAAGTTTTATAAATTTATTATCGCTGAAGCCGTTGCTTTTTTTCGTGCATGCGTAATGGAGTGATTTTATGTGTAACCTTGGGCCTCCTTGGGCCTCCTTGGACCTCGTTGGACCTCCTTGGGCCTCGCTCCACTACTCACCACATGCACAAATTTAAAGACAAAAAAAACTTTAAAAAAGTATGCCGGGGGCCAAGTCCCACTAGCAGCGTTGAGTTTCCTAAACCCCTGAATCTGGACGGCTTTGAGGAGATGTGCGGTTGAGGAAACTCAACACCATTTCTGCACGCTTCCACAAACACGACCAGATTCAGGCGTTGAGATAAAAACTCAACGCTAGAATTGGCCCTGTGTGCATCTTACCATCCTCATGCAGTGTCTCATCTCTCCTCTATGCAAATGAGCGGACTCCCTTTTTTTTAATTCCCTTCTTCTTATTTCGGTTTTTCCTTTTTTTCCTTCTTTTTTACGTCTTTTTTCGGAAAAAAAAAATCCTTTTTCCCTTTTTTAAATCTGCTTTCCTTCTTTTTTTTTCTTTTTTTTTCTCTTTTTTTCCCCACCTTTTTTCCCTTCTTTTTTTTCTTCTTTTTTTCTGTTTCTTTTTTTCTCCCTTGTTTCTTTTTCTTTCTTTTCTTTTCTTTTTTTCCCAAACATCATTGAAAATTTGAAACATGTCCTTTATTTCCGCATCCAACTGACTAACAACTCCCCGTGTTTGTTAGTTAGTTAATTAATCAATACCTCAAGTTGTGCCTCTCCTGCAAGCTTTTTTTTTTTTTTTTTTTTAAAGAATTCAAATGGACTCAGGAGTTGCACATAGCGCCCCTCAATGCCCTCATATGTGCGTTAATTTTCATTAAGAAAAAACTGGGGTAAAATAAAATTTACGACCTTTTCTCTGCTAAGATGTTTTCTGCATAGTTACAACTTTATTTAACGGATGTCCCGAAGGGCTTTTTTTTTTTTTTTTTACATAAAGAGAGAGAGGAATTGAGAATATGGGGAAGTGTAAGAGGAGAGTGGCTGTTTCACGTTGGTTGGTGCTTGTTTTCACTCGATTGAAACAATCAACACACTTTACCAACGGGCACACCGACAAGAGTTCTCCACCACAGACACACAACAGCCATAACCTCCCACTCCATCTCTCTCTCTCTCTCTCTCTCTCTCTCTCTCTCTCTCTCTCTCTCTCTCTCTCTCTCTCTCTCTCTCTCTCTCTC